TAGTAGTGCAGATAACGGATGTGTCTCAGTCTGTGCTCTGCATACTGACACTGTATTTGTTTTATCAGATTGAGAAGCACATCTCCATTTGAAACATACATGTACATAAACATATGATTTATTTTCCTCCACAGACATAGACCTCTGTCATTTACATATAAAGTGCATGTGCTACTGATAGAGTGAATACATTTGGTCATATTTTCATGATTAAATATACAAAGAATGCAATTTTTGGCTTTTGTGCGTTTCTATTGGAAATACACTTTGCAATAATAAAATGGCAAATACAGTTGTGCATTCATCTTGCATATACTGACACCCCTCCAATACCTTACTCTCTATTTGATTCAATGTGCAGGTTAAAAAACCTTTGTTTCTGTCTTCTTTTTATCAAGAGTAATGTATTGTGACTGGCTACTTAGCCCCCTCCCCCTGTAACAGCAATCTGAAAAAGACTTTAAGATCTTTAAAATAGAAGCCTACCCGTAAATGTAAATACCCAGACTAATATATTATAATAATACTTTTAGCATTGATTTCTATAATACTATGCCATTACCTAAATTGTAAGCTGAAAAAAAATGTTTACTGTTAAAGATGCGCCACCTGAAAGATAAATTTGTTTTAACTGAATTTCAGTCTGTGAAAATCACTAAATTTTAGAGCTGTGAATCTTTTTTAGGGGCTTCCACGACACAGATTATCAGTGATTTTCCTGAAATATCATCTTTTCCAATGCCATAAAATTCTCATCATGAATATTCCTAGGAGTGGAAATAAACAATTTGAAGTAATACTCATGAAGTATTTATGTGTTTATTGTCAGGTTCTTATACTGAAACAGAAACCTACCAAGGTACTGCAGATAGCATTACAGAAGAATCTACAAAGTGCAATCAATGTCTCTTTATTATTACTACCGGAAAGTTTTCATGAAGAAGAACTTTATACAACAATAGCTGGTCTCTCATACATGGGTAAGAAGTGGCATGCAAGACTTTCTCTTATTGGCCAATCGACTGTCACACCTAACTATTCAGCCAATCATGGAGTGCATTGCTTATGTACTATAGATTAACCAGCATCAGCTATCAAGATTATTCCATATCTCAACAACAAAATCTGTGTTTAACATTTATTAAATACATATACTGAAGAAGTAGCATATCTATCTTAATTCGTAATGGTTGATAGAGCAACGTCTGCAACAGGAGAATATGTTTACAGAATAAATATTTTTTTTGCTGTTCTCCCATTTTGGCGCACTTTTCTGAGATCTAAAATTACAACAAAAATGTGTAAAATGATGCTTCTTTTTTGCCTTTAATGAGTCATTGGTAACTGAAATTGCAAAGACAAAATGTGTTCAACATGTAGTTTTTTATTTCTATTACATCAAAGGCACTAGAGAAGACTAGTGTCTTTGATTACATCACAGTCCCTCAACACCCGGTTAGGAAACGCTATTGTTCTAGGGTGTGAATCGCCGAGTCCCGCGTACAGTGTGTGTTTCGCTTGTGGGGAGAGAGCGGTGACGTCGTAGCATTATCTTGGAGCTCGTTTGAAGCACTTCCGTTCAGTGCACGTCTACAATTATTGCGTGTTTTTGAGAAAAGTCTGTAAATTTTATTTAAAATTGCAAGTCTCTGTACGAACCTATTGGTGTCGTGAAAATGCGCGTGTAGTTTAAAATCTATATTCTTAATAAATAGCGGAAAAAAGAGATTTTGATTTCAAACTGTAGCTGCCTTGTTCGTTCATTGTTAAAGTTTGTGTTAAGGAAACGTTACCACGAAAGTTTCAACCCTGGTAAATCGCGTTATCACGTCCAAAACATTCACAGTTGTTATTAATTTGTGATTTGATATTTTAATTTTTGGATAATATTTATTACTTTGTCCATAAGTGCCGGGAAGGTTTTCATTTCAGTCGTTCATTTTGCATGCCTTAGGTTTTGTGTATGAAACAAGATGGCTGTTTGGTGTCGCTCACAATAAATGTTATTCCGCAAGGAATAGGAACAACTAAAACTTAAAAGATGGAAATATTTGTAGCTTTTAGATAACCAAACCGATTTATGTTGTCATATGACCCATTCTAATCATATAAAGCAACATAATGTCATGTTTCTCGGAACATGTTCGCAGCAAAACTTTCGTTTTCAAGATGGCTATACAAGTTAAATAGATGGGAACGTTCTAAAGGATATAATGTCGTTCCAATCAATTTCACTGTCGCTGAAATCATCATGTTTTCCGCGTATTTTGTTATAATAAAATACTCGAAAGAAAGTTGTAACTTGTCAGGAGTGAACAGGAAAATAAAGTTGTGTGCGTCTGTGCAGAAATGAATCGCAAGGTATTCTGGGTGAAAATGATGTTATACTAATGTTAATTTTATGTTAATGTTGACAGCGTGGGGATTACCGGTAAGCTAATTTTACGAACGCGAAACGCGCATTGTGACAATAGAACTCTGAGCGTTTCCTAACTGCGTGTTGAGGGACTGTGATTACATGTATTACGAAAGTTGTATAGGGTGTGAGCCCTCTAGTGGTGGATAAGTTGTAATCTTTCTTTTTTACACAATATGAAAAACATTACTAGTTCTTCAGTGAAAGACAGATATGTCTGCAAATTGATTCTGTGTTTGAATACACATTAGGTCAAAAAAAAAAAAAACTTATGTTGCCCTCAAGTAGGAAAATTGAAAAAATTGGGTTGGTCGGTCGGAATTTTTTTTTAAACTCGTGAAAACTAAGGGTATCGTAAATATATATGGGAGGTATATGGGGAAAAAAAAAACGCGACCCGATATTTCATATTTTTCGGTTGGTCGCTGAGGGCAACAAAACAATTTTTTTTGGCCTTATGAAAGATCATAGTATTTTTTTTTTGTAGGTGATTTTAGAATGACTGTTGGAGAAGATAAGAATAAAGTATCTAATATTGTCAAGCCAAATCTTCTCAATTTTCAACATTTATATGGTCCTGTGTTAAAGCCATTAAAGTTTATTGAATGGAACAAAGAAAATAATACATTCCAGGTAACTTGATTTGCATACACATTGCTTATTTGCATACTAATTTGCTTCCATCTTTCCTATTTGTATACCATCATTGCTTATTAGCATACACACTGCTTATTAGCATACACACTGCTTATTTGCATACACACTGCTTATTAGCATACACACTGCTTATTTGCATACACACTGCTTATTAGCATACACACTGCTTATTAGCATACACACTGCTTATTTGCATACTAATTTGCTTCCATCTTTCCTATTTGTATACACACTGCTTATTAGCATACACACTGCTTATTAGCATACACACTGCTTATTAGCATACACACTGCTTATTAGCATACACACTGCTTATTTGCATACACACTGCTTATTTGCATACACACTGCTTATTAGCATACACACTGCTTATTAGCATACTAATTTGCTTCCATCTTTCCTATTTGTATACCATCA